GGTTTCAAGAATTTTGGCCCAGTTGCGGTCATCTTTGACATCGTACAATTTCTTGAATGGTTACGTTTAACTATTGCTTACCACCTTAGTTTTTACGGTTTAATAGGTATCGCTTAATTAGGCTGAAGATTTGCCTGTTCTGGATCATCATGTGACTCAGCAAGAGGCCTTTTGCGAACTTTTCATCGGCTTTCCAGTGGTGCCACTTTTCATCAGCACAGTACTTCACATCCCTAAACATGTTACATCCGTTTGCCTTGAATTCCCCTTCAATCTACCTGTCGATTCGTTCTGAGTTTGTCCCTTCGTTCGAATTTCGTTCTGACGAACTGCTCAATAACCTTGGCATCCCTCAAGTGATAGACTTTACCTCCCTTGATGCTTTCCGTCTGCATGAACGTGAGCTTACCTCGTTATGATATGTGCTGAAGATGTAGCAATCGTCGCATCAACATTCAATATGAAAAGGCTGGAAGGGCTGTCTCGCCAATGTTCAATAACACAAAAGTTTGTATCGTTTTAACAAACGGAAGCTAATTGTGCAAAAAATGCCTAAAAAGCATTTCTTACCTTAGAACACTCGATTTTTTGCCCTCTTTAAACTTCTGGAATCAACCTATATATATATATATATATCACCTGACTGCACTCAAGTCATTGATTCTTACAAGTTGTCTACGGTAACAGTAGAGGTGGTTAACAGAAATAACTCCTGTGAGAGGCAGTTTACCGTCTGATTTTAACCATTGAATCCTGAAAGTGGCCTTCCTTCTCTGCACCATAATCTTTCCAACACACCCTAGTATCTTTGTCAGAGACTGGCTGTTTTTCACGTGAAGTATCATATACTTGCGATCGATGAATTTCATTGCACTAAAGCTGCAGACAGATTCGATAGACAACGGGCAAAAAGTGTTCTTGCAGCTCATCGCTGAAATTCTGAATAAAGTGTCTGGCTAAAGTAATTAGTAATTTAATATTAATTTTTAATGTTTTAATGATGAGTCGATATTTAATTGCGATTCTGTCTAGCGGTTCCTTTGGCAACGATCAGCAGTTCTGAAAACGTGGCTGTCGTGATCACTACCAGCGGGGGCCACATTGGCTTTCCAATGGGACAGTGGCCATGCCCCGAAGGGCTAGTGGAGAAGTTGTTTGCTCAGTACGCCACCGCCACGCTGCAGCACTCTTCATCGCATGGCCGTTCTTGCTTGCGTTCGCCATC